TTTTTAAGACTGCTAATTTCACTAGGTGTTCATATCTTGGTATTCCTAATCCTCCATTGGTTTTTGGGGTATAGAAGAAGCCTGATGATGTGGAAGGCACCAGGTGGAGGATTTCTTTAATTTGCTGCCTCATTTCACTGTCTATCAGCTTTAAAACGGAATCACTTGGTGGATTTATTATTAAACAGTAGGTGTACCTTGGAAGTATAAAATTAGTTATTAAATCGATCTTCTGGTGAGGCTTAAGAGCTAGCCTTTTTGTTCGTACTATTGCATCCATGATTTCCGGGACAATAATCCCTGTATCGATGCCTTTCCATGGTCCGATTTTAGCGCCTAAGTACTTTAGTACTTTATCCGGTTCCACATATGGAATTTGATCACCATTTCCTGCTTTAATTTTAGGATTGTCTATAAACCAAGTGTCTCTTTTTGTTATAATTTGAAATGTCGAGCGCTTGGAAGGGGATATGTGCATACCTAGATTTTTTAAGAAATTAGTCACTATTTCTAGTTGTTTCTGAGCCTCCTCTCTATTTTTTCCTAGAAGAACAACGTCATCTGCGAATGCTAAGACCTCAATTTCTGTTGTATCATCTGTGTAGATTCCTTCAGTTTCTTCCTGGAGTTGTTCTAATATTGGCTCTATGCATAAGTTGAACAAGAGAGGGGATAGGGGATCTCCTTGTCTAACCCCTCTAAGAATTCTAATGGAAACTTCCCCATCTCTCCCGCGAATTTGCGTTATATTATCTTTGTACATATTAGTTATCAGATTTTGTATTTGTATTGGAATTCCTTTTCGGGCTAGGCTCTTTCCTATTGCCGCATGTGGTATCGTATCAAAGGCTTTTGATATATCAAGTACTGTGAAAATTGCAGTTTTGAATGGCCTTATCCAACAGCGCAGTGTTCTGTTTACAACCATCTTCGGAGGTAAAGCCCTTTTGCCTAAGATTTTGTTTTATTGCCTTCCTTAAGCGGGTATCAACCAGTGATGAAAATAGTCGACCTAGAATAGAGCTAATCGTGATTGGTCTCCAATTCTCCGCTTTCTCGAGGTCTTTTTCCGGTTTTGGAATTAAAGTGGTCCGATTTATTTTCCATGTTAATGGATAGTAGTTCGCATAACATAGAATATTAAATAGTGTTGCTAGGATTTTTGCGATACCTGCTTTTTGAATATGACTCTTCTGTAAGCCATCTATACCTCCCGCTGCTTTATTCCTCATTTTCTTAATTTTATTCACAATTTCATCTTCCTCAAAAGGGGGAAATATTTCAACCAGATTTAACATAGGTGAACATTCATTATTATTAGGAATTAAGGATTCGGGATTAGGTGTTTCCCATAGGTTGCCATAAACTTCTTGTATACTTCTAGTTGTGGGCGGTTGTCTAAGATTCCGTAAAAAAAAAAAACCCAAAGCGCTCGTGTCGCTACAACGCGAGCCGCTCGCACCTGTACGCTCAGGGCACCAGTAGCTATTACTAGCTCGAGAGAGATGCTACCATAACGTTCTCTTCAGAACTCTTCATCAATTCCTTACAGGAAGTTAACCACTAAACGTAGCCTATATGAAAGGCAGTAGATCGCGAGTTAGCTAGTAACCGAACTCTAAATCTACGGAGTGTGTGCAAAGTAACTGAATAAACAATTGGTGGTTCGTAACTCTGTATTAATTCCTTAAAGGAAGTTAATCTTCAAGTGTAGCCTATATGAAAGGCAGGAAATCGCGAGTTGACTATTAAACTAACTCTAAGTCTACTGAGTGGGTGAAAATAACTTAATAAACTATAGCTGGTTCGTTATTACAACTTTCAGCCAAAAGTGCAAAACTGCTTTATCAATTACGGCTCATGAGCGTTCCCCCAACCGTCCTGAATCCGCATCCAGCTTTCAGCACTAGTAACACCAATACTCGATATCCTTTTCGAACAAATTTAATGGTCCTTCGAGCCGGATATCAGGGCATGAGCTTCGAAAAACGCAGTTCAACGTTAAATTTAACGTTATAACGAACAGTATTTCAAACGCGCTCGGTAGTGAAGAAGCATAAGAACTCACACAAAAACTATCAACAATCCGGGTGAGACTCACAACATCGCGATTACCTATACCCAACGAGTTAGTTAGAAAAGAAACTGTGTCGTATGCCAAATCTATAAGGTGCGACCTTCGAAATTCAAATTTCGTTTATATCGAACCGAAAACCGACAGTGAACATACCGCGGTGCGCAAAACAAAAGTTCCAGCAGTGCGCGGCCATAAAACTAGTACCTATCTACCAATACAATCCACGTAAGATGGAGGAGCCGTGGAATGCACAAAGAAGCGTTATCGGCTCGATAACGCGCGTCCTCGACAATGTGAAGAAACTCGGGAAGAACAACTATACTCCGGCGATGTTGAAAAATCGCATGGCCATTCTACAGGACTACTGGAAGGACTGTCAACGGTTGAATGCGAAGATCGAAACGACCGCTACCAAGGAGGAACGTAACAGCCATGAGTACTTCGTCAACCAAATGTTTCTTCGTGCAGAGGACAGCTATATCAACACGAGCGACTACTTAGCCTCTTGGATAGATAAGTTTACAAAATCTCTTCCCACTAATAATGGCTCTGCCGAGGCTTCGGTATCGGAGCAACCGCATTTTGCAATACAGTTACCTCGCATTGTGTTGCCTAAATTTTCCGGCGACTACACGGACTGGGAAAACTTCAAAGATATATTCGAGTCACTCGTTGTAAATAATGATAATCTAAGTAACGTTCAACGATTACATTACTTAAAGGCTAGTTTAATAGACGATGCTAAACTAGTCCTAAAAAATGTTAGTGTCACGGAAGCCAATTACAACTCCGCTTGGGAGCTACTAAAAAATCGATACGATAATCCGCGTATCATTATCAATGCTCACTTACAAAGTTTCGTTGATTTACCTTGCTTGAATTCCAGCTCTGTGAAAGAACTTCGTAGCTTGCGCGACAAAACAAATGACGCATTGACTGCCTTGAAGAATCTTAAACGTCCAGTCGAA